CAGGGAATCCTCTATAATTTTAAAACATGTTGCAGAGTCACATATGTCCATAAATCTAAATTCACTAGAATGCTTATGGGGACATATTATCATCAGATTTGAAAATAAATCCTTTATTGCTTTCATTTTGAACTTCACTCTTTACTTGACTCAAATTATCTTTATCAGATAATGAATGAGGGGCTTCATCATGAGTGAAGAAGTTCCCAGGAGCAATCCCATTTACAAAACTTCTTAAAATTCTTGTCAGAGTCCATTTTGGACATAGGGCAATTTTCTCTGTCCCTTTTAAGAAAAATCTCTTTGACCTAGCTAATATCTCTGATATGTTACAGTTAACATGTGATAAGAACAATATCAAAACCATAAATTCATTTAATAAGTGTAGATTAAGAAATTTGAAATCCACATATTTGCCAACCATAAAAATATAGTGTCCTCATCACACACATTGTAAAGATTGACATATTCTACCAAGCTGTCTCTATCTGCTTGATAAAAAACCTCTTTTACTTATACATAAAACACAGCCCTGAAATTTGTTAAAAGGGAAGAAATGGAATTCAAGTCAAATACTTTCTCATTAGTTACTAAAAAGTCAATGCAGTTACTATTAATTTATTTAATGATTTAAGATTAGAACAATATAAATCATAGCCTTTATTCTTGCATATTTCTAAGAATAGGTATAAATTCTTAAATAAGTATTCATTCTCAAAAGTAAGTATAAAATAATATTTAGATGGGATTTAAGCCTTCCTACAGCACCCCTACCCCCATTCCAAACCTTAGAAGTTTCCCAATATACAAAAGATGAGGTGACTAAAATTTTCAAACTTCTCTCCAAAATCATCGTACTAAATTCAATAGCTGTGTGTGTGGGGCAACATAATATTTCATATTTCTCCACAAACATATCCAATACTAAAATGAAAGCTAAATCCCAGCAAGGCATATAATTATCTGTATCAGACACAGCGAAGTGTAACATCCCATTAAAATAAAGAGATCTTTTTATTCTGAAGTTAGTTGTGGCTCCTTATGTTAAACTTTCATCATATATCTGTGGAAGTAAATATATGAATACATATATAATTATAAATAATTTCTTCACATGCAAAGATCATTTATCTTAAAAAGTACAAATAAGCTTTTTTTGTAGTTGAAAAAAAAAAAGGTAAGCTAAGGGAACCTGAGTATGTTCCTTAAACCTCTCTGAGCCTCCATCACCTCATCTACAAAGTGGGCAGAAAAATACTTTCATGTGGGACAATGAGACAAGATGCAGGAGTAAGTGGTCGGTTTATTATTTCTTTACCTGGGATAGGTGGGTCTTTTTCTCCAGTCCTGACCTTGGTGAATCTCTGTGTAGAATAAGTTACCAGCACCCTCTTCTCACTTGCTATCGTTCACCCCAGATCCCCCTCAGAGCCTGCCATTCCCCTACCCTGTACCTCAGTGTTGTCTAACTTGTCCAGTTCTGCCAAGGGGCCCCTAAGGGATGTTAAAGAAAACTCCTTGTCTGGAATTGCAGATGTGTGGTTCCAGCCTCAGAGGAGTCCCACCTCAGCCTTAAAGATGGCTCAGCGTGCTACTGAGTTCACTCACTATCAGGGATGATTTCACTCACACCCCTCTAGATTTCTGCTACCCTCACTCCCCATCTCTTTCTCAGCAGATGATCTTGCCTCTTGTGACACTAGGAAAATGGAGACCTGGCCGGGTGCGGTAGCTCACTCCTGTAATCCCAGCACTTTGGGAGGCCAAGGCAGGTGGATCATGAGGTCAGAAGTTCAAGACCAGCCTGGCCAAGACGGTAGAACCCCGTTTCTACTAAAATTAGCTGGGTGTGGTGGCAGGCACCTGTAATCCCAGCTACTCGGGAGGCTGAGGCAGAGAATTGCTTAAACTCAGGAGGCAGAGGTTGCAGTGATCCGAGATCACATCACTGCACTCCAGCCTGGGCAACAGAACAAGACTCTGTCTCAAAAAAATAAAAAAAAAAAAGAAAAGAAAAGAAAAATGGAGACCTAAAGGCAGGTGTTCAACTTCTCACTTCCTTCTTGGCTCCCATCTTAGCTCTGTTCCTCATTTCTTTGATTTTATCCATTCTCTAATCAGTGTTTGTTCTTTTCTTTTTCATTGATTTCTCATCAGCTTATAAATGTAGCCAAGCCCAGCCAGTCCAAAAAGAGTTCCCATCAACCCTGCTTTCTTCTCTAGCCACCTTCAACTCTCAATCTTTTTCCTCCTTCACTGTGAGTATTCTTGAGTGTCCTGGACAATCTTCATTTCCATCCACTATGGGTTCCATTCCAACTATGTTTTGGTGCTGCTGTGATTAACAATGAGTGCACTGATGAATTCAATTTCTAGGAATGGAACTAGGCACTGTGGATACAGTGGTGAACAAGGCAGACATGATTCCTGTCTTCATGGAACATAAAATATAGTGGGGTGTCAGTTGTGATCCTTTGAGAAACAGTTCCCAAGACAGAATTAGATGTGTAAGAGATGTATACCAGGAAATGCCTGTGAAGAATAAAGGAACTGGAGTAGGCAAGGAGAGCCCTTAGATCACAGTACAGGTGGGGTACCTGTGAAGAGAGAGAAGGAAGGAAGGGTTGGATGGGAAGGGCCACAAGCCACAGTTCAGCTCTAAGAAAATCTCATCTGTGCTGATAGGGCATCCTGGAGCAAAAGTTGCCTGTTACTGTTGCTATAGAATGAATGTTTGCCTGCCCTAAGTGCGTATGTTGAAATCCTAACCCCCAAGGTGATGGTATTAGAAGGTGGGGACTTTGGTAGGTGCTTAGGCCATGAGGATAGAGCCCTAATCAATAGGCTTAATGATCTTATAAAAGAGACTCTGGAGAATTCCCTTGCCCCTCTGCCATGTGAGGACTTACTGAAAAGAGTCATCTATGTGCCAAAAAGTGGGCCTTGCCAGACACCAAATTTGCTGGAGGCTTGATCTTGGACTCCCAGCTGTCAGAACTGTGAGAAATAACTTTCTGTTGTTGAGAAGCCACCCAGTCTATGGTATTTTGTTATAGAAGCCCAAACAGACTAAGGGAGAAAACTGGCACTGAGAAGTGAGTGTGTTGTTGTAATAAATACCTAAAACTGTAGAAGTGGCTTTGGAATTGGCTACTGGGTAGAGGCAGGAAGAGTATTGAGATGAGTGCTAGACAAAGCCTACATTTCAATGAACAGATATTTCAGATAAGTGGCAAATAACATGGAGACATGTTCATGTCCTAGTGTTTTGTGTTTTGTAGAAGGTACAGCTGGTCCTAAGGGGCTGCACATATGGGCATCCATGCGATCTGGGAGAGGGGTCCCGGAGCACCTGCAATGAAGTTCTAAACCACCTGCCTGTGCAGTTTACTTCTGCCCTCTGGTCTTGCTTCTGGCTGCAGATTTTAAGCAGCACTGGCCAGTTTTGCCCCATGGGATGCCATGCTCTATTAATTTTCTCTGCAACTCCCAGGAGTCAATCATCCTTGACTGCCCCTTTGTCCTTGTTGGTCAATACAATAATTGTGGGCTTCTGGCTTTTAGTGGCTAAGTACCACTTCCTGGCTCTATTCGTTCATTTCTTCATTATGAGTCTAACTCTATGAACACCTCTTTTACTATCATCCCTGGCCTGCAGAGGAGGCCACCACTGAATATTCGAGCATTGCTGCTGCCCTTCTCACTAGTGCATTCCTGATTGCCATAGCGAATGGCATATTCTCTGGGCCTCTCCATGGAATATCATCCTGTGGCAGGTCTTCTGGTTTCATATACTATACCCACTCCAGCATCTCACTTTCTACAGCTTTTTTGTTCCCTCCTCCATCATGCACAGGGCAACTCAGCCATTTCCATTTTGCCTAGCATAGGATATTAGTTTTTCCAGGCTTCTAAGAGCCACCATAGCTAAAAGTTTGTCCTATTCTTTTGAGTCCTTGCCAGGGTGGTGAATCTCATGTCCTGAGGAAGTGTCGCAAATTACTGAATTTCTACTTATCCAGTTTTATGTTCTATAATAACTCCCTTTATTAAGCACTCTTGAAATTCACTCCCAAGGGTATTTTCCCAGCTCTTGTATACACATGCTGGTTAATTTTTGCAACTCCTTCAACAGAAATCTCCTTCCTTCATTTTCAGGTTCAGCATGTTCCCAGCTGGATTATGTTATCCTGACAGTCAGGATGTAGGCAGAATTAACCCCTGAAGAGGGTACCTATTACTTTATGGGGGAAAGACCTTTGCAGTATCTTTCCTCTGAGGCTGCTAGCTCTTCGTCTGGAGAGGTAGACCCCCTCTCCAATCTCAGAGGTTTCAGGGCCTCTGCGGAGGTAAAACTTATAGAAGCATTTCCTAGATGTCCTCATTTCATTTCAGAAACCAGGCTTTCCCAACCTCAGCCCTTACCTTAACAAATAGACCTGCTTTGGCTGAGCATTTAAGTATCTCTGGAGTTTGGCAGCCTCAACTCTCAGACCTTAATTTTACTGCTCAGCTGTGATTGCTCTACCACAGCAGGAGATAAGGGTCCCTTTGTAAACTACTTAAACTCACACTTAGCCTTTAACTGTTTGTTAACCCTCATTTCTCATTCTCCCCCTGGCTTCAATACAGCTTAGTAACAACCAGTCATTAACCAAAGTAGGCTTTCTTTGCCCCATATTTTTCAACTGCTTAAATCATCTCACTGACAAGGGCATTTTCCTTCACTGGATTTTCCTATGTCATCACCTTCCCAATGTCATCCCAAACCACCTTCCCAACCTCATTTCCTGCCACCCGCCTTCTCTCAGAAGCAGTTTAGACTCACTGTTCTGTAAGCATTTTTTGGGCTGCATCTAGCCTACATGGCTGTGGGGTTGTCTTGGCCTACAGTTTTTCATTGTTCTTCACTTCCTATAATCCATCATTGTTCAATGATCAGCCCAGGCATTGTTTACTGGAAGAGTCACAGAGAAAACATGCATTTGCTTTACCAGCTCTACCACTTACTGCTGCAAGAATCCATCAGCTTTCTCAGGATGTAAACCCCTTTGTGAATGCTCAAACTGCAGGCACTGTGAGTTTCCAGGTAAGCCCCAGAGTGCAGATCCAGGCTATGGTAAGGGTGTATTCAGGTGCCCAGACTGGGTACAAATGGGAGCTGGATTGGGGTTGGGGCTTTTAAACATGCATCCAAGGATTTTAAAGGCCAACTACCTCTGTAGGCCTTGGAAAGCCTCAATCAGTCAGAAGCGGTGTGATAGTGACTGCTGGAGTGGTGAGATGTGAAGCAGATGAACCAGTTCACAAAGCAGGTCTGTTGTTAAGGTAAGGGCTGAGGTTGGGAAAACCTTGTTTCTAAAATGAAATGGGGACATCTGGGAAATGCTTCTGTGAGTTTTACCTCTGCAGAGGTAAAGTCTTAACAGTGGTTGAGAGCCAGAATGGATCTAGATTCAAATCCTGACTCTGCTACCCAGCTGAATGACTGTGCGCAGTTTACTTAAGCTCTCTGAACTTCAGTTTCTTCATGGGAAACCTGGAAACTAAGCCTATCTGACACATGGTAGTGAGGGCTGACTGACAGAATGCATAGAAATTACCTGGCACTCTGTTCGTAACATCCTGGAAAAAAGGGAAGAAATAACACTGACCAGTCCACATTCTCGTGCCAGGTGAGGGGCTCTCTTTAGGACAGAGAACCTGCCATATATGGCAAAAGGGATCTCCTGAGTGGATTCTAGGCCTGATGAGCCCAGCTGGCCTTCTTCATCTCTAAAGCTGCTTGCTCTTTCTTTTTTCCTGACCCTTGATCTCCCTCTGTGCACTGGGAGCTCCATTTCTGCCCAGGATGCTGAGCACAGTTCTGCCCAACTTGTGCTCAATGCATGATCTCATTTATTCCCTTACTTCATCAACATTACTGCTCTGCCTCCCCTTGATTAGGGCCTTGCTGGGCATCCACCTAATTAATCTGGTGAAGCAATTCGGGCAGGGCATTAACGGCTGATAATGCTGCATTCCTTCTAGGGAATCTGCTGTACTTTCGTAAAAGTCTCCTTAACTTGATGCAAAGAAGGGACTAATGAGTTAATTTCAGGACCCTTTCAAGGTCAACACTAGGACAACAACCTACATACCATCCAACTGGATGATCAAACAGGAGGGTGAGCAGCAGAAGTGTGGCTGAGAACAGGGCTACTGTCCCTTAAATCTGGTCCATGTTGCACAGGCAACAGAGCTCCTTCAAGGAGCATACCAAGCTGAACTGTGCAGGGGAGAGGGCCCAGACAAGTGCATTTTTGAGCCACTGCTTTGATCCAGGACTCAGAGTGTCTTGCCTGGCCTAGCACAGAAGGCTCTTCTCTGGTCTCCCTGCCTCCTTGATAGGTCTCTCTCTCTCTAGTCTCTCTTCCATACCATTGCTGGGGGACCTTTAGAAGATTCATTTTGGAGATGTCATCCCCTTGCTCAAAATCTTTTCTTGGGTTCCCATTACCTTTGTGGTACAGCCTGAACTCCTCAGCCTGACACACAAACCCCTCCTGCCTGGCTCCCTTCTCCAGGCTCATCTTCTGCCACCCACGGCACACACCCACACTCCAGACTGATCAAATGACTTACTGTTCCTGAAAGTCCTGAAGACCTAGCATTTGCAGTTCCCAGCACCTAGACTATCTTCCTCCTCACCCTGTGCCCTGACGCCACCTAGCACCCCACCTGTCATCTCCTCATTCTCCCTCCCTTTGATTGTCCTATGGACTCCTGTCCATTTTCCAAGATTCATCTCTTATCACATGTTAGTGACAGTGCCATTCTCCTTTCACTCTCATTGCACTCTGGCAAAGTGAGCCGTTTTCTCTTTTGCTTACCAAGCGTACCTCTGTTATAAAATTTACACTTTAAGAAATATGTTTTACCCCACATTAGGTAAAAGTTTCTTTGAGCATTTGGAACCTGCCCTGTTTGTTCGAATCCTCAGCTTCACAGATTCAAGACAATCAATAAATATATTCTGAACAAAATGAATATGACCATGAATAACCAGAATTAAATTTTCATTTTGTATCCATCACACATAATTTATTTAATCTTTTAGCTCTCCCTGTGGAGAGCTAAATATCTCCATTTCCTTTTTTGGCAAAAGAAAATCAAATACCTACCTCTGAGGATGGAAGTGAGATTTTACATATGTGAAGTGTCCTGTGTCAGGCTGCACATGGAATTGGCTGTCACATTGGGCTGCTGCTGCCACCTTTACCCACTTCGGTGTATATCTGGATTGAGTTGCAGTACCTTTGAAGATACACCTCAAGAGTCAAAGGAGAAATCAAGAAACTCGGGGAAAACCAGAATTCACCAGTGTCTTCTGTGTGCTTAGCCTTATGCCTTGGCATTTTACACACTGTTCCCAAGGCCCTTTCTGGGTTTCCGATTTGCTATCTTGCCTCACTGCATAGAATTGGAGGGTAATAGTGGTTGCTCAATAAATATTTAATTTAAATGAATGGAGTAGAATCTTTCCTGTATTGATCAGCAGTTTACAGAGGACCCTTTTCTTCTGCTGTACCTTCTCAGTAATTAAGTTACAGATTTTCCTTGAACAACTACTATTATGCTGACAGATTTATATGCTGTTACTGTTGATTGTTTGAAGACTAGTCCTTCAGACTGGGATAAATGAGTTCAGCTCCCAGTTTTTGTCAGCTTTGTGAGTAAAGAGTTCAAAGAAATAAATCTCTACTACAGTTGACATTTTCTCTATTCACAAGTAGAGGGAGTGAAAGAGACAGAGAGGGAGATTCCCATATGTGTACCGATACATACGGAGATAAATATCCCTCCCATTTGATAGCTATTCAAAGCACACTTCTAGCCTGGTGTCCTGGAATAGCCTATTTGTTAAATGCTAGAAGAATCAAGTTACTCTACAAGATTCAAATTGCTACTGAACGTCAGTCTTTGAAATATATTGTCTGTTCAAATAAACTGACAAGCAAATCTTTCAGAAGCCAGGAGAAGACCTTCTGGATGTAAAAGGAAAAATCTGATAGAGAGCACTTGGTTATGAAATACTTTTAAAACAAAGGGAAGTGACAATAAAATATCATTTCCTTGGCTTTGTAGAAATTCAGTCTGTCAGTACCTGGGCACGACTATTTCTGTCCTTCACTACCAGATCTGAATTGTAATATATGCTGTTACTTACTGCTTAGAGAATGTTGTCTCTTAAGAAATGTTTCCACAAAAGGGTACTTATATAATGACATTTTCCTGATGTCTAATTTGCATACATTTATTTATGATTAAGCAATTGTTTATAGCATGCCTAGTATGGGCCAGGTTTGCTTTAGGTACTGGGGATGTCACAGAGAATAAGACAATGTTTACTCTCATGGAGTTTACATTCTGAAGGCTGGGGCTGGGGAGATGAAGAAAACATGGTTGTTAAATTGATGAACAAGAAAAATATTAGTAAAAAATGTTATGCACAGGGAACATAAAAACCTCTACAGTGAGAATGGGCTTGGTGTGTTGAAGGATCAGAAGTCAGGTCAACGTAGTTGGAGTGAAGTGACAAATGTAGCAGTAGGAGATAAGGTGGAGCATTAGGTGTGGAAAGTCTAGATACTGAGTTTGGATTTTATTGACAGTGCAATGGGAAGTTGTTGGAGGGATTTTTAACGTCGGTAGTGACAAAATCTGAAGAACATTTAGAAATGCAGGTAGAGAACAGATTCCAGTGCGTCAAGAGTGGAAACAAGATTTGCACTTAAAAGGTAAAGTTCTGGGTCAGGAAAGACATGATGGTGGCATAGACTAGGGAAATGCTAGTGAAGATGAAACCAGTGGGAAGATGCTACATATGAGTCACATATGGCTTCTGTTAACTAATTGCTCATGATGCTTTTCTAAACAAAATTTTAAGGATGGGAACAAACTCCCCTGTGAAACAATTTCAAACCTGCCAAAGAGGTGGCAAAAAATAGAATATGTTTTCTTTTTGGACATTGAAATGCTAAATCTGAGCCAAGCACCACAATTTACACTTTATCTAGTTTAATCATCATTACAACCTTATGAAGGAGATGTTATCATTATTCCTATTACACTAAAAATAATTGAGAAGGAAACTGAGACTTAGAGGACTGATGTCACACAGCTAATAAAGGGTATAATGAGGACTTGCAATACAGGCCAATTTCTACCAAAACCAGTGAATTTAACTACCAACCTTAACCACTCTCCAAGAATGATATATACAAGTGATTCGCTGTAAACATCTTCCCTTACCATCATAGTTTTACTAAGGACTCTAGGTTCTATTGTTGACTAGTATCAGGGCAGGAAGTCTATGGCTGTGACTTTGGAATGGAATATAACAAAGAGGACCAAAGAGTTGCCAGATGGATTGTACATTTCTCTTAAGCTTTAGCCTGGGTGCAAGCATCTGGCCAAGCATTTATAGGACAGTTTTCATGACTCAAAAGTAGCTTAACAACCCATGTTTGTGTTCTAATTTGAAAATCTTGTTGACTCTCTTTCAGTGCCTCATAATCTTACAATTCTTTTTCCATAGCCTCTTTTCATATCCTAGTCTAGGCCCTTATCATCTGGCGCCTAATGAAAGTAGTATCAGTGGTGCCTTATAATTCACTGCCAGAAGCAGTCTACAAATTCAACCATTCCCCATCAAAATACCACCACCATTCTTCACAGAATTAGAAAAAAAATTCTAAAATTCATATGGAACCAAAAAGGAGCCCACATAGCCAATGCAAGATTAAGTATAAAGAACAAATCTACGGGCATCACACTATCTGGTGTCAAACTATACTATAAGGCCATAGTTACCAAAATAGCATGATACTGGTATAAAAATAGGCACACAGACCAATGGAACAGAATAGAGAACCCAGAAACAAACCCAAATACTTACAGCCAACTGATCTTTGACAAAGCAAACAAAAACATAAAGTAGGGAAAGGATACCTTTTTCAAGAAATGATGCTGGGATAATTAGCTAGCCACATGTAGAAGAATGAAACTGGATCCTCATCTCTCACCTTATACAAAAATCAACTCAAG